GTAGGGAAGTGTAGAACAGCAGGAAAAACAATACAGAATTAAAGTGTCTCTCTCCATGTTTCTTCTAAGTCTCTTTTAAGTATTGAAAGGCTACAGTAATTTCTCCCCAGATTGAACAACCCCTACTCTCTCAGCACGTCTTCATAGGATTCCAGCCCTCTGATGATTTTTGTGATCCCTCCTTTGGATTGTCTCCAACAGGTTTGTGTTTTTCTCATACTGGGGTGCCCAGAGCTGGAGACAACACTCCAAGTGGGGTGTCCTGAGAGTGGAGTAGAAAGGGAGAATCACCTCCCTGGACCTGCTGGCCATGTTTCTTTTTATGCAGCCCAGGATATGATTGGCTTTCTGGGCTGCAAGCACACACTGAAATAAATAAAGCCAAAACAAATTCCCAGTGTCAATAATCCAGGTTACTCTAGTTCTGATACTGTGTTCCCCTGTGGAAAGCTATCAGACCACTTTAATAATCCCTGTAAACCAGGCAAACTAAAACCAGAAAAAATTATAGTGAAGACATGATAAGAACAGTTTCAGTCTTAAAATTCAAAATGTGCATCAGACTTGAGACCACTAGAGAAAGTCCAGTGGAGGGCAACAAAGCTGACTGAGGGACTGGAGCATCTCCCTAATGAGGAAAGGCTGGGAGACCTGGGACTCTTTAGCATGGAGAAGAGAAGGCTGAGGGGAGACCTTATTAATAGCTACAAGTATCTAAAGGGTGGGTGCAAGGAGGATGGAGCCAGACTCTTTGCAGTAGTTCCCAGAGACAGGATGAGGGGCAACAGGCACAAGCTGGAACACAGGAAGTTCCATTTAGATATGAGGAAAAACACAGTGAGGGTGACAGAGCCCTGGAACAGACTGCCCAGAGAGGTTGTGGAGTCCCCTTCTCTGGAGATATTCAGAACCCACCTGGATGCAGTCCTGAGTAATGTGCTCTGGGTGATCCTGCTTTAGTGGGAGAGTTGGACTAGATGGTGTCTAGAGGTCCCTTCCAACCCTGACTTTGCAATGCTTCTATGATTCTGTCTTCATGACAGATGTCACAATCACATCAAAATCCATCCAAAGAGTTTGGACATGTCAGTATAGAAATTATAAAGAAGCCTGGTAGGAAGCTGCAGTCATCATCATTTGTATGACACCATTCATCTTTCCCAAATCCATTAAGATACATTTATAGCATTAGGGATGTATAAACTCTTTCTACTGCAATAATAAAATAATGAAATGGACATTTTTCTTACTTGAGATTTCAGCGCTTGAAGCTGAGTTTCATAATTCTGAGCCATTTCATATTTAGTTTTTTGTAAGTCTTCCAGTTTCTGTCGAAGTAGTCCTATCTAGAATTAAAACAAGGATTCAAATTTACCTTTTCTGAAGTATTCTGAAATATGTAATTTCTGGAATAATAATTTGAAGCTTTGAAAAAAAGACTGTAGCTTAAAAGATAAGATATTAAAAAAATATCTTAATTCAATAACTTAAAAATAAAACTGGATACAGAAACCCAGGCTGTATCAACATCAAGCTAAGGATTTTAAAGTTACGTTATGATTTAACAATAATACTGTATGACTCTGTCATGAAAGAACATTTAATGAAAGCATTTCTGACCCAACTACATGGATGAACTGCTGTGCCTTAGTGTGAAAATTCTACTTGAATGGCTTATATAATAATACGTATGACTTTCAAATACTTCTGTAAAATTACCAGGGAATGCTGTAGACTCATTCCAGCTCCCAAAATACAGTGCCCTCTGAGCTATCTTGAATTACCTGAGAGTTTCACACAGAACTTAGGAATGTGACCAGCATCATACACAACACCTATGTATTTCTGGAGGGCAGCTGGAAGCTGGGTGGGATATGCTAAACTATCTCTTGGCTCCTCCGACTGCAAAGACTAAGGGCAAGCCCAGAATGATTTCATTTTCAAAACTCCCACTGGCAGTTTAGTCACCTCCCTCAGACAAGGACATCCATGTGTGAACACCTAACGTCAGGTGCCTGGCAGCAGAACAGAATGCTGTGCTAGATCTAATGATGCTCCTGAATGAGTGTTCAGCAGACTCGACTGTGAAGTATGGACACCAACAGGCAAACAGGGGCTTTCAGCTTAATTCTGACTTCTAAGTGATCATACAATTCCAGCCTTCACTATTAACACTAAAATAATCATACGAAGAAAGCATATCATGTGAAATTATAAAAATCAGGTATAAATAGGAATTACAAAGACATTTGTGAAGCTTTTTGAGCTGTACATTTCCACTGAAAATTTCTGATGAAACTAGAATTGTTGGCATTTCAAATTAGGTTTTTACAGCTAAACTGATAATATTTAATTTAGACTTCAGGGAAATAGAAGAAATGTGAGACTTTCACTGACTTTTTTACAATCACTTTTCAGAACAGAAGCACACCTTAGAAGAAAACACTAAGGATAATCAGAGACCTTTTAAGGGTGTGATAGAACAAAATGGTCTCCTTATAGAGCATTTAGAGCATACTATGAGCTAACTCCCGGAACAAATAGTTTATTTACAGAATATGATATTCTTAAATACCTCTTGAGCTTTTTGATCCAGTTTGTTTTGGGCACTTGCTAATTCTTTATCCTGAATATCCACCTTTGTTTCTAAAGCTTTCATCTTCCTTTCCCATTCCATTTTTTTGCTGTTTATCATTATATCAATTTGATGCACTAATTCCTGAAGTCCAGTTTCACATGGAGAAGCTCTAATAATGAAAAAAAAAAAAGGAAAAAAATTATTTTTTTCAAATGAAAAATATGGGAGAAAACAAAAAAAATAGTTATATTGCTGAGTTTTTAGTGGAAATAACCACTTCTCAGCAGCAGAAAGGGATGGGAAAGCTAGATGATGCCTTCAAATGTAGGTGAAATCCCACTTCATCTGTCTTAAGTTTGCCTGAAGTAAGTATCAGAGTATTTAGCATATTCTGGACTTCCTGCTTAGCTTAAATGCTGTTTGATATCCTCTCATTCTTTCAGGGATGAACTGTCAAATGAACATGAATTGAGTTGAAAGTATCCAGGCTCAAACCTCAGTGGACAAGAGAAGGAGAAGATGAATTTTCAGGTTTTTATGGGCACAGGACTTTCCACTAAGGACACATAATGATGGAAGCAAAGTTTTTTGGAGGAAGTTACTAAATAGCTGGCTTGAAAGCTAGCCACCATTCTTAACTGACTGTTCAGTTTTTACACTCTGCTTTCCCATTCTCTTTGTAAAAAAATGACTTAAATAACAAGGTGAATTGTATATTAATAGTAAGTTTTTATTCAATTAGGAAGCACAGAAGCGAGTGCATTTTGAAAAAGAACTTGTCTTTGGGGGACCATGTGCTGGATTTTATAGAGTTTTGTACAGTATCTGCAACATAAACATTAGATGTTTTCTCATGTTTCTGAGATTAAATTAAGAATACATCCCTTACACTGTGACTTAATTGTCAGTAATAGACAATGTTGCTTTAGGAATATTCTGTGTCCTAAGTAACAAAATAATGATATATGGCTAGTTTTGGGTACATTAGAAGGGTCATCAGAAACTGAAAGCAGTCCAAGTTGCCCTCTTATACAATCCCTTTGTACAGGAGCAGTACATTGATTTCTAAAAATGAAGCTCTGTTTGGACAGTGTCAATGTTTAAATCAGCTGTTGTACACCATTTAGCTGGTATATACAAAGTATCTGAACTTCAGAATGGAGATTTCTTCATTCCATATGCATTACAACTTTGTATTTGAAAACAAGAAAAAAATTGAAAGAAATTGCATGATTCTTCCTACACTCTAAAACTTTTTATGTGTAGAAATTACTATTTCCCATCAAAGTTATAGAGTCCCTCTAGGGCATATGAGATTTCTTTTTCCTGAAGTATTTTAGAGAGTTTATTGCCCAGTTGTTTTATGAACTGGGAGGTTCTGTCAGCCTGAATATTTACAGCTGGCATTTCAGATCTGCAGTGATTTATTTAAAAGTCAGAATCTTTCTAGGACTCATTAATCTTTTGAACTTCCAGTGAAACATTGCAGTTAGAAAAAAAAATTATACCATAATTAAATAAAACTGTTTATTGAAATGTTTATTGAAATGTTCCTGAACACTTTTATTTTCCTGACTTACTGTCTTTTATCCACTTAACCTAGGATTCTAGTGTTTGGGAAAAAGGTAAAGGAGACAATGTACACTCTTGCCTAATTCCTCACCATAAAATCAAGTAGGGGAATTTTATTCCATGAAAACTCAGAGATGCTTCAGACTGTTACAAAGAAGAGTTAGGTATTGAACAAACAGCCAAACTGTGTATATGAGCCCATACATTTTCTATAAAACTTAATCGCCATCAAGTCATACAGGAAAAAAAATCAGACTGTTTTCAATCACTGTGATTAATTACACATCACCAAATAAGAATTTGTCATTTTTCAATCATTTAAGACTTCAATTTGGTCTCATTTTAATCATCATAGAATCACAGAACCACAGAACGTTAGGGGTTGGAAGGGTCCTCTGAAGATCATCAAGTCCAACCCCCTGCTGCAGCAGCAACACCTAGGGCAGATCACACAGGAAATTTGTCCAGATGAATCTTGAAAGTCTCCAGAGGAGACTCCACAACCTCTCTGAGCAGCCTGTTCCAGTGCTCTGTCACCCTCACAGTAAGACATTTTGCCTCATGTTGAGGTTGAACTTCCTGTGTTGTAACTTGGTGCCATTTCCCCTCATGCTATCACAGGGCACCACTGAAAAGAGACTGGCCCATTCTTGACATCCACCCTTCAGATGTTTGTAGACATTAATAAGGTCCCTTCTTAGTCTTCTCTTCTCAAGCCTAAACAGCCCCAGGTCTCTTAGCCTTTCCTTGTATGACCAGTCCCTTAATCATCCTTGTAGCCCTCCAGCACATCCCTGTTCTCTTGAACTGGGGAGCCCAGAACCACACACAATACTCCAGATGTGGTCTTACTAGAGCAGAGTAGAGGGTGAGGAGATATGAGATATGAAATCAGAATTAGACAGGTGTTTTTAGAAAAGGCTTTAGCAGACTTACCACTGTAAGGCTTACTGCATGTCATTTATTGAAAGAATATTATTTTTACCAACTTATTTTTGAGAATACCACACCTTGTAAGCATTTTTATTATGTTCAGAACTCACAGTATGCTAGATACAGATATTTTTATCTACAGGGCATCTAGAAGGGCACATATCTTACTGGAGTGAAGGAAAACCCTACACTGACTGTTTTAGGTGGCAGAAGAATGCGTTGGATTTTAGAACTTCTGTGAAGTAGCTGCTGTTGCATCTCACACCTTTTTTTCAGTGACATCCATTATCTGCATATGCTGTTCTCATCCCAGTTAACTATTCATAAGCCTTTCTACTTCATTCCCATTGCTCTTTTAGTACCTTTATGACCCCTAATCAGTTTGCAGTCATTCTAGTATCTTAATGGCATGATGGTTTGTTAGAATAAGCAGAGCTATTTCCTTAAAATAAGCACAGGTATTATTTTATGAAATAACTGCCACAGAGACAGTCACACAGAGACAAAAGATGGTGCAGCTTCTGAAAAATGCAGCAGCAACCTACAGAAGGCAGGCACTGGGCCTGTAAGCCCTCCATCCTAGGAAGTATTGGAGAGGATTTCAATACTCTCAATTATGGTGCATATCCCTTCTTTTGATAATTATTGCAGGAAACTGGGGTTAATTTGTTGGAGATGTACTATATCAGAATTAAAATTTAAATTTTTAAGAACTTTTTGATATAAAAAAACTCTTGAAATTTTAACATTATGAACATTAAGCTTGGAAAGATTTTTACAATACACACATAAATCATAAGGCCTTTTTAATGTTAAAACTGCTAGCATGTAATTTTTAAATCTGAGTCATAGAATGATAATAAACAAAGTGCAAGCAAGTACATATTACAAAATAAAACTGCCTTCTCTCCAAGTACCTGGAGCTCATCTCAAAATAGCACTAATGATGCAGCAAACTTTGATTGCCTCTGGTTGAATATGAAATGTTATCTTAAAAACAGAAGATGAAGTGATACTGAGGGACAGCCTCTTCTGTGATACTGCTACAAGGACCTGGGCCCTTCCAGCCTCATGCACTATCAGGAGGCAACACTCTGATGAGCCACCAGCAAAGACTCAGCTATCCGATTTTAGTCTTCAGAAACAGGTACTCTCTTTATTGTGTGTCCCATGGATCATGTAAACATTACCATGCAAGTGCAAATGCAACCACTAGCCTGGATCATGAGATACCTACTCTTTCAGACCCATCATGGTTTCACCTGTAATTTTCAGATCAGCCCCCACAAGGTAAGTTTTGCAGAGGTTGCTAGAAAATTTTCTCTCAAAGTTCTTCTGTTTCTTGAATATAGAACCACCAATATATACAAGGGAGCTGCTGAAGGAAAAAAAACCCTTCTGGAAGAGCCTCTCAGTCTGTCTTTACCTTCTCTGTCCACTTCCTTACACAGTTCCTGTAGGTACACCTACAGCTCAAAATGGAAAGCTGTAGATTATTATTGCTGTCCTACTACCAGAACTACTCTGTATCCTGGCTGTGGCATTGCAAACAGATCTGCCTAAAGGTGCATTTGGCAGTTATCCCCACCTACTTGCACAGAGGTACCACTAGCTGCTCTAACTATTATTTTAGTCCCTTCAATGTTTTTAAAGTGTGGTATCACAATTGTGAGAATTAATTTTGATCACTGGATGTGGACTGCAGGAAAATCTGGCATCATTTGTTTAATATGCCATCAGGTAAACAAACACAAAAAGAACAAGATTTCCCATAAAATGAAGAAGTATGGGGTTCTACCCATATGTGTTCAGTGTTCCCCCTTTGCTGAATTCATATATCAAAGGGATTCTTCATACATGAATGTAATGACTTGTACTTAACAAAGTGGCAGCTATTTATTGTTGTTGCACTGACTCTGAAACCGTTCAAAACACTTAAAGGTATCTCATTTTTAAAGTGATGGAGGGAAAGCTCTTAGTCTTCTTTTATTCTGTTTCTGTATTGGTGAAAATAGAGATGATTAATATTCTGCTGTCATTAATAACTATTTATCTGCCCAGGGAAGTGGTCCAGTCACCATCCCTGGAAGTGTTGAAGGGAAGATTGGATGTGGCACTTAGTGCCATGGTCTGGCTGATGTGGTGGTGTTAGGTCATAGGCTGGACTTGATGATCTCAGAGGTCTTTTCCAGTCTCAGTAATTCTGTGTTTCTGTCATCTTCATGTAAAATCTAGATGCTTCCCAATTTAGACCAACCAAAATCCAGATAAGTTTTACCAAGTGCAGGCCTTTATCACAAATTATTATTGAGCTAGTTACAACTTTTCTAGCTCTACTTATCTGTCTTTTGCTTTGGAGTTCTGAACAGATCTGTATTTTTCTGATTGTTTCCTAATAGGCATAGAAATCATATTATTAGCTATACACTTTTAAAGTTGCTATTCAGAAACTGACATTTTAAGAATTGTTTGGTTCAAACTGTCAGTCTCTGCTTCATGCCTTCTTCTGTTACTGAGATTTGCTGACAAATAGGAAAACAAGTAAGACCATATTTATGCTTAACACAAGAAAAACCTATGCAGAACAATGTTAATGAAGAATTCCATCTTACATAGTATATTCATTACTTTCCAATCCTCAACCCAGCTTCTAGAGCCAGTATTAATTTCTCTCTTCTTAAAACTTGCTTTAAAAATAGGAAATGTTTAAACCAGTTGTGATACATAGTCCTTTAGAATCTTCTACCCCAAAGTTCCATTTTATCAAGAACAACTAATCTATTTAACATTTTGCAGCCACAGAAAATCATACACATCTGTAGATGAATAATTTGTGATTTAGGAGTTCTTACAGTTGGGATGCAAATTTCATTATTTCCACCACCATTATTCAGCCATATTCCCAAATTTTAGAGCTATCTGCATTACCTCTGTCAGTACAGACTGAAATTGATGTCTGCTATCACTGGATGTGTGTTTTAACTATTCTTCCAGAGTCTCTGTATAGGTAATGGAAATAAATAGCTACCTCTATTACCTGGGTTGTGATGGGACAAACCACTCTCTAGATTCATATGCAATGGCCTGAAACTTCACAAACATCAATTACAACCTAAGCCAGGCAGGACCTGAACTCTTGAGACAAGCTTCTGATTTATTAAAGTAGTATCTAAAGAACAGCAACATATTGATTTTTTTCTAATTCAAGTTTTCACATGACCATATCTACCAAACATATCACTAACAAAAACAATCCTTCTCCAAGCCAAAAAACCAAACCAAAACAAAAGGGCCACATTCTTCAGAATACAATATTCTACTGCAGCAATTTATTGCTATCATGAAAAGTGCACACATTATTTATTCTTCAGTACAACAGAGCACAATTTCAAATCCTATTAAAACTTTCTTGGGCAAGAATAAGGTGTGATTGAATATGCACATTTATGTTACTTAAGAAATGCTTTTGCACTTAATATGCACCATATCACCTTGGACTGCTTCATTAAATAATGATAGAAGAAACTGTTTTACATGAAAAATAGGTAATAAGTTTATTTACAAATTAAGAAAGATAGATAAATACTCTCCTTTGCTAATTATATGGGAAAATACTTTTTATATTGCTGTGTTCCTTGAACAGGCTGGATGAGATGAGGTCTAATATCAAATCTCACTCATGTTTACATTTCTTTAGAAATAGAAATATTGTGTGGTATTAATACTTTTTTAGACTAACACTGAAGGAACAGAACTTGGATAATGTCAAAAAAGATTATTCTGTTGTGATGAAAAGTGCACTTAATATTTGGGAAGCATAACTGTAGTTATTACCTGTGTGAAATAAGATAAGGACTTCAGCAATTAATGGTTTTGTGAATGTTTTAAGGGCTGTGGTATGTAAGTTTATTCTGCTGTAGCCTAGCAACCTCAGTTATTTTTTTTTAAACAGTTTAAAATAACATTTCATATGATCTTAATAAAACCTTTTGTTCAGGTAGGAAGATTTAAAAAATGTAAATAACAGAAACAGTAATTAGAATAGTTTAAAGAATATATTGCTTAGATAAAGCAATAAGATGTGTCACTTAATTACCTCTCCAGTTTGCAGAGCAAGCATAAGAAATTGTGAAAGAGTCATGTTTGTTTCTAAAATCATTAATACTTTGGTTTTCACATTTTTAATAAACGCACATAATTCAATCCCGTCGTATATTCAATTCCCAGACAATAACTAGCTACTTACTCAGTGCCAGCTTGTTCCTGAAACACTTCTAAATCCTGCTCCATATTGCTGATTACTGGTTTGACCTGTTGAAAACAGCAAAAGTGGAATAATTCAGGTTCTTAAATGCAAGCATTCACGGCCAGTTAATCCATACTGAGCAGCTCTGTGCTTCAGTTCCTGCAGTTCTCCCACTGCAGGGGAATGTGGCTCTAATTACAGCCTGGAACGGGCCAGACAAAACCTCCAGGAGTGAGCTCAGCTGCTCCTGGGGCAGCACTCAGATAACTGGGGCTGGTGCCGGTGCCTGGGTGGTCCTGGGTTTCCGCGAGGAACCTTTTGCTGACGCCAGCACTTTGCCAACACACTTCAAAGGGCCTCAGCCTAAACCTGCCGCAGG